CGTTTCTGGATGTGGTTGATAGGTGACTTTCACTGTGCAGAGTACAGTCTTAACCTGCATTTGTAGATGCAGCGACGGGTGGTTTTCCAAAAAAATTCCCGAACCCAAGTGGTGATCTGCATCACAGAAACATGCTGGTTTTAAGGCAGCGCTGTCTGAGGGATCAAAGGTCATTCAGTTGTGGTTTTTGGCCTTTTCTTTATGCACATAGATTTCTCTGGATTCCCTGAATATGTTGATATAATGCGCTGTAGAGGGTGAAATACCTAAAAAGCTTTGCAATCCCCCATGAGGAACGTTATTTTTAAACTTGTTCTCACTCATAAAGGACTCCGCCTTTCCTGGATGCTCCTTTTATATCCAAGCATGATTGCATCACCTGTGTAAGATGTTTTATGGACATTTTACAACAGTCCCAAATTTGTTGTAATGTGATACAGACATAGTTTTCAGAATAAGTGTATGTTTACAAAAAACAGTGAAGTTCAAAACATTAATTATCTTTGTACTGTTATTGTAAAAATCCATTGTATATTTACAGATTCTGTGGATTGACATGTTTAGATACTGCTTTCTGTTTTTATTTGTATTTTACCTACTGTCACAACTTTTGTAGAATTGTGTGTGTGTGTGTGTGTATCTGTAAAATGTTATTTTTTTTGTGTGTGTGTGTGTGTGTGTGTGTGTGTGTGTGTGTGTGTGTGTGTGTGTATGTGTATACAGGGGATCTATCCTGGCATCCTTGGACACCTTTAAGAAAATGTGGGTTTCTAAGAAGGAGTATGAAGAGGACCGCGCTCGTGCCATCCACAGGAAAACGTTTTAATGGGCCCCCGCTGACCCCTCACCCGACCCCCCCCCCACTGCTCTGTCTCTCTTCTCCCAGACCCCTCCCCCTTCCACCTGCTCATTGGGACCCTTGGGCCCCGCCCCCTGCAGCTGTGGCATGCCCTGTATAGCCCCGCCCCCCGTAGCCCCGCCCCCCCTCCTCGTAGGACCGGGCAGAAGTGGGTTAAATCTGTGTCCATCAAACACAAATGGCTTTTCAGGGCGTCAGTCACTCTCAACTTTCATTTCAGTCACTGAAGAAAATGCTTTGATATTTATTACACTATTTACAGCTGTGTACTGTAATCATATCCACCGCAGGGCTGCGGTTCTGTAGCGCTTAGTTTCCCCCCGTTCTGATACGCCGAGTCAGCGCTCAAAGCCCCGAGCAGTTCTGATTAAACCAGACGGAGTGATCGTTTCACTCGGCTGTAAAGAAAATTCATTCCAAAACTGGAGAGGGTAATGATTTTTCTCTTCTGTAACGCAGTCGTCTCCGCTCGCTGCCGCCCTGTGGACGTGTATAATAGTGACGTTAGTTTGGTTCCTTATTAGTTCGCCATTGTTAGTGTTTTTGGAGTTGACTGATTAAAGAAAAGCTCCAGTTTAAGGGAACTGAACTGCACGCGCTCTTCAGAGGTAGATAAACGGCATCAATTTAGGACAGACGTGAAGTGTGATGTTTAGTTTTTGTGGACGCTCACTCTGTGTGAAAATAACAATAATTGGCTGTTTTGAGTTTTGAACAGTAGCCCCCGCACACCCCCCACCCCAACCAGGCATTTGTTTTTCCTCAAAATCCTCATGCCCCCTTTAATTTCCGGTCTGTTCATCTCCACACGGCGAAGAATCTTACTTGAAACTCTGGAGGAACGACGTGAAGGATCTGAAAGGTTTAAGCCGAGCACATCTGATCTTCTCTAAAAACAAAGTTTATCCAAATGTAAGTGCATGATGTGAAAAGTTCATGTTTATCTCGTCACAGAAACACGAGCTGAAGGTTAGCAGGTCAGATTTGGCCTCATCGGACTTTTAATAAACAGTGTGACAGAATAATGGAAATGGCTGAAAATGTGTAGTGGCTGAATTAAAATGGCTCAATGTCAGTAACGCTATTTGAGTTTCCAAAGGAAAACATACTGTAACACTATAAAAACATACTTGTAATACTTACATTAGCACGTCAGAAAAACAGAGAAACTTGAGTCACTGAACTGAATGACTGTCAATAAAACTGAACTATTGAGCTTCTATAATAAACAACCAGGCGCAGCTGATTTACTGATTACAGCTTCAGTTCCAGCTGATAAACAAGAATCTTTAAACTTTAAAAACGGTTTAAAATGTACACGATTAAAGGAAACACGAATGTTCTGTCTGCTGTTTCCATTATTTTGTCCGTGTCTGCTGAAAGAGCTGCGTCATTGCAGGATTTAATTTGTCTGTGACCATTTTCTCATTAAGATTGGCCGTAGTGTCCTTATCAGAAAGTCTGTTTTTTTTTTGTTATTATTTTTTAAAGATATAATAATCATCAGCCTTGTGTACAGTGGATTGCTATTCAAAAATAAAGGAAAAAAACAAAAGGACTAAAATGTACAATATTGTTCCTTCAGCTGTTGCTTTTATTTTCCATTTTGTAAATTCAGTATGATAAATAAATGAATGACTGCTGTCTGAGCACTGCTGTTTGTTCTCACTCTGTGGTTTTGGGTGTTTTAGCCGTTAGCATGTTTTATAGGAAGTGTTCTGTTAAAAGAACGTGAGACAAAAGAAGAGTTATGAGCTGTATTTCTCTTTGGGGGTTTTGCAGGGACGGCACTGTATTGTTAAAAGGACCATATCATGGAACACTTAATTTTTCTTACTTTTTAAAAATAAAAGTTTGGTGTTGTATACGAACATCATATAAGTTTCAAAACGTCACACAACGTACAGTCCACGCATGGAAACTACAAAAACTGTGTTCATTACATTTGTGATGTGACAACAACCAACGTGTAATAAAGCATTAAGACATGAAAGGCCATGCATTGCAGTGATTTTATCACGGGGAAGGGAGTTCTTGTGCACAACGTGGAGTAAAACCCCCTTCCCTGTGATAAAATTGCCTCGAGTGGCTTATTGCCTTCAAAAAGAGGGTGACCAACATAAAATATAATATGATTTTATGGACTTTTTTAACTTATAGTATAATAATGAACATAACATAGCACTGTTTAATGTAAAAATATTTACTTTTACAAGAACTTTTTGGTCACTAAACTACCCCTGCAATTTTTATTTAGCACCAAGTTAACGGCGCCCCTTTTCTTTCACTGGGGCTGAATCTCAAACGGCTCCCTGCTCCCTATATAACGCACCACGTAGGAATTTAAATACTGGCTCCTGCAACCAGGAGTGTATAATATTGGTAATAAATAGTCATTTGATATTCATCCATATTCAACAAACAGTGCACTGTTGGCTGTAGAAGCTAGAATTTCTAAACTTCCCTAGCGCACTATTTAGGGAGTATGGACAGAGTCGGTTTATGAGGAGCCTGGCCACTTTTTTTAAACTCCTATAACTCGAGTATAAAAGCTCTTAAAATTATAACAGCAGCGTTAAAATGTTTTATGCTGTTCAGTGTTCAGGAGTGTGCGCAGCATTGCAGAGATTATTCCGTTAACAGTACAAGGATTTTTCGTGGCGCTATGATACAGAGTTCAGTTACTGTGAGGCGGTCGGTGTGTGTATAGACCACTGTAGTCGTCGTCATTCTGTAGTCTTCGTTATGCCCATATTAGGAACTCAGGGTCTAAGCTTCATTGAATTTTCCCGTTCCACCTTAAATGGCGCAGCAGTTCAGAACGTGACTGCTGCACCATTTAAGGTGGAATGGGAAAATTCGAACAAGCAGCCGGCGAAAAAGAAGCTGACTTCAGCTTCATAGAGGGTTGAGAGTCATGATATGAGCAAGTTTCTCTGAGTAACATTAAATTATTTTTGCTGTTTCACAGAACTAACAGGTCAGTATTTTGTCTTGTTTGCTAATGTTTGTGATAGCTATAGTCGCAGCTGCTGCACTATTTAAGATGGAACGGTAGGATTCAAACAAGAAGCTGCGAAAAGGAGCCAAATTCAGCCTCATAGCTTTAACACGGGTAGTATTTTTGATAAGGAGCTTATCAAAATATCCTACGTAGAGGTTTTATTTACGGGTATACCTGTAATTATGCGCTACAGTAGAACGTTTCGATAACGTAGCACAGCTCGTCAGAGCACCGGCACAGCCCGCCTTAGTTTCGTGTAGCTTAGTGACATCAAATTGATGCGCAGTAGCTTTAGCTCGCATGTAGCAATATCAGTATTAAGGCTCTTTAACGACCTCGTAATTCAGAGGATCCAGTGGTATTCGGGAGAAAAATGTTCACAGGACAAAACGTATCGGGTTCTGAACATTTTTATTTAACACAGGGGGCGATAGAGGCGATTTTTCAAAAACCCTATTCATTCTGGCCATAGAGAAATGGGGCTTAGACCCGGAGTTCCTAATATGGGCATAACGAGGACTACAGAATGACGCATGACTACAGTGATCTTCGAACGCGGCTCCGCTAATCAGATTTTAGGACCGGAACTGTCCCTTTTATAGGGAGTGTTTTGATGCTCTGAGACGCAATACAAGGCTGCCAATCAGAACAGAGCTCATTTACATATATCAGTCTTAAAGGCACAGTAACGTAAACAGCCTGTTTAATTGTAAAGGATAGGGACAGATTTGAAATGATCATGTAGAAATGAATTATGGCTGTTTCTGATGGACAAAACCTCAAAATGTTGTAATTGCACTTCGGAAATGAAAAATAAACTATAACAAATGTTTAAGATTAGGCTCTTTAACTTTCTGATCCAATGAAGTTGGAAAAGCAGCATGAATGAGTCCCTTTGTCTTGATATTCTATTTCTATTGTGTAAATTGACAATTAGTACAAATAAAAAAACAAAACAAGCCAAATATAAGTGAGCATCACTGAAGCTTTTATCGCATTTTTCCTCCACAGAAACAAAAGTGTTTTAAAATGTTTGTGAGACGTTTTAAATATGCCTTTCACTGTAAAATGTTTTTAATATCAAGCAGCGTAATTTTATTTTTAGGGTTATTATTTTGAAACGCCAAAGGAAGCCTTGCGTCTTTTATTTTGAAAGTCTTCAAGTGCGGAAGAAGTGCTCAGTGTGTCATTCACATATGGGATGATTTTCTCTGAGTTTGTAGGAAACTAAGAATATAATTCAGAAAAAAATGTAATTAAGATTTAACTGTATTTCTGAAGTTTTTAGTTATTATTATATTATTAAGGTGTTTTTTTTGCGCTGTGTTAATCAATAATGCGGAGAGTGACTCTGTTTATTAACGGAACCTCCCGGAATGGAAAGGTAAATAAACAGACATCCATTTTTCTAATATCTCAACTTTTATATCAGATAAAAAAGAGGGTTTCTTGCTGAACTCTTAAACAGGCATGACGCTTAAATTCACTTATTTTTCTCACTTATATTTTCCGTCCCACCTTGAAAGGTCCTACTGTTATGTTCTAGAGTCTGAGGCACCATTTAAGGTGCAACGGTGAGTTAGGATAAGAGGCTGGCTGGTGGGTCAGTAACTGTGTGGCTGTTTTTAAGGTGGTCGCGGTTTACGGCTCTCTGGCTGATTTATTATCTGTAGCGAGCGCCAAACTGGGAATCAAAGCTGCGAACATCTTTAACTCTAAAGGTGGATTGATTGACGACCTCGCTCTGATCAGGTAAGAATCACTTTAATTAGCTGATTAGTTCTTTATAAGAGTTTATCAGGAGGCAGTACATTAAAAGTCTTTGCTTTGTTTAGGGATGATGATGTGCTTTATGTGTCTGAAGGAGACACTTTTGTTGGTGAGTTTAAGGACCCCGCCCCAGTAATGTAGTAACATTATAAAATACATGTTTAATCCTGTGATTAATTTGTATAATGTTGTATTTTTTAAAGCCCCTCTTCGAGACCCGGAAGTTCCACACTTTAACGCTCACACTGATTGGCTGACACTGAATGTGGGCGGGCGCTGCTTCACCACAACCCGGTAAACATTTAAAAGGAATTTCCGGTGATTTTTTAAGAAATTCTCCATAATTAAGTGGTTAACGTGTAAACAGAGTCATTCAGAGTGGTTTGGTGTGAAACGCTCCGTTCTAGAGAAACTTACCGAGTCAGAATTGTTCACAGTGGTGGTGATAGGAACCAGACATCCACCTCTAAAAGCTCCCTCACAGAAAGTTATCACATGAAATGGTTATGAATTCACTGCATGATGTCTAAGACACTGTTTTACAATAGTTTTAGGAACTTAAAATCCATTCATGGTGGAGGGATACATGCAGGGTTCTGTGAGACAAAATAGTCCCCAAAGAAAACGTCTTTTTTCAGATTTTCCACTATTTTCCCATTATCAACATTCCATGTAAACGTCAGAAGACACGTAAAGGTTCACTGGTGGTTTTGTATAGTAGATAAAATGTCCATATTTGTGTTGTAGTCATGGCGACCCCTGGTTCCTATCACCACCACTGTAAAGAAATCTGACCAATTTCACACTAAACTACTCTGTTTACATCTCACACACTGAGTTATGGGGGAATTTTGAAAAACAGGTGGACGCACTCTGGTAGAATGTGTAATGTCAAATTGTCTGAACGCTGCTGTTCTGGTTGAAGCTGATGGTTGTTTTATCAGGAGCACGCTGGTGAAGGAGCCGGAGAGCATGCTGGCCCACATGTTTGGAGATAAAGGTGAGGTCTGATTCAGAGTGATGATTTACTCCAGGAGATCTGGTTTGTTCTCTGTTGTGATGAGTTTGTGTTCTGCTGTGTTGCTGCAGATGTTTGGGGGAACAGGCAGGATGACTGCGGTGCGTATCTGATTGACCGCAGTCCAGATTACTTTGAGCCCATTCTGAACTACCTGAGACACGGCCAGCTCATCGTCAACGACGGGATCAACCTTCGAGGTGAGCTTCTTAAGCTTCTTTAGCATGAGCTCCATACATGCCTGTTTACACCAAGTTTAAGTTTGTCAGACAAAATAAAAGGACAGTTACAGACTGTAGTCCATCTGTTTCTCTGCATTTTTTAATTATTTATATTGTTATTATTATAATTATTATTAAGAGAATAAGTGATAAATGTGCGGTTGATTGCTTTCAATAACATAATTAAAAACTCTCACCTAAACAACACAATCAAACAGACTGACCACAGGCTGAGGGTCAACACGCAGTAAACCCGCTCTGAACGTCAGTATCATTAAATATTCTTCTCTTCAAATCATCTTTACGCTCACAGCTTTATCACAGCAGCTTTCTGTCGCACAGCTTTTATTTTGAAGTTCTGAGATGAGGAAGTTGGTGAAGTTGGTGGATTTTACTGAATGTGGCTTTTTCCAGATAATCTTTAGCTACGTTGCTGTTTGGAAGACAGTAATTTATTATTCATGAAACAGTAATTAATTAATAATAAATAAATGTATTTCTCTCAGGGGTTTTGGAGGAGGCTCGTTTTTTTGGGATTGAGCGTCTCGCTGAGCAGCTGGAGGCCGTTATCAGGGTAATCTGCTTATTGTTCTTTTAATATACAGGTTGAATGGATGTGTTATGAAAACATGCTGTAACTGATCTATTGTTTTACTGTCAGAATTCGCAGCCTGCTGATGATCACTCTCCCATCTCCAGAAAAGAGTTTGTTCGTTTTCTGCTCGCTACGCCGACAAAGTCAGAGTTACGCTGTCAGGTAGACCTCAGATATGACATTACTCTTAGTGTTAGAATGTGACTGAGTGTTTTACCTCATTTGGTTTTACTACATTTTACTACATTTTACTACATAAACCTCTAAATTGTGAACTCCTAAACCATAAAACCCCTAACCCTGACCCCTAAATAGCTGTGTCTGTGTTGAAGTGAGCAGAGTGTGAAAACTGTGGTCATTTTCAGGGTCTGAACTTTAGCGGCGCTGACCTCTCGCGGTTGGATCTGCGCTACATTAACTTTAAGATGGCGAATCTCAGCCACTGTAACCTCACACACGCCAACCTCTGTGGAACCAACCTGGAGCGAGCTGACCTGTCCAACGCCAACCTGGATGTAAGCTCAGCGCTTAAGCGACCTCAGCAGGTGTCAGAGGTGCAGAGCTCTGTGTGTGTTGTGCTGTCGTTGATGTTTTGTTCTTCTGTCTGAATGTTCAGGGAGCGAATCTGCAGGGAGTGAAGATGCTCTGCACTAACGCTGAGGGAGCTTCGCTGAAAGGCTGCAACTTTGAAGATCCTGCTGGACTCAAGGCCAATCTGGAGGGTGAGGATCACTTTAACTTGTAAACTAATTTTATAATTCCAAAAACATTTCCTTACTGTTTACTATGAGTCTTATATGTTTGTAATATTTAAATAATTTTAAGAAATAGTCATACTGTTTGTTTCTACTGTATTTGTAATTCAACTACAAAATATTTAATTTCTTCTCATTTTTATTAACGTTCGGCTTTTATTTTTGAGTGAACCTCAGCATATTTGATCTGAATGTGTGTTTTCTGTTGAAGGTGCTAATCTGAAAGGAGTTGATATGGAGGGCAGTCAGATGACCGGTATTAACCTCCGGGTGGCGACACTGAAGAACGCAAAGCTAAAGAACTGTAACTTGCGAGGAGCCACGCTGGCCGGAACCGATCTGGAGGTCAGAACACAGTTTTGCCTTTCCACCACCGGGCAGCGCAGTGCAGTCAGACCTGGCAGCGGGATTAATGCAAAATCAACGTCTTTACTTAACGAGCAGTGGCCATCAGGCTTCATAAATGTTTTTAATAACTATTTGATTGTTGATTTTTGTCAACATTAACATCACAGCACAACACCACAGAGTCAGAAATATAACAGCTAACCAGATATTACAATACAAATATTAACTTTAATGAACAGCAGTGTCCCAATACCAGCCACACATGGAAACCAAATAAACTGTAAAGTGCTTTTTATCCAGTTCAAATCTAAAAGCAATTAACTCACAAACAGAAAGACGCTGTTGCTGTCGCTAATCACTGTTCTTACACAGCACTACAGCACTGCTGCTCTGTAGTTTTTCCCCCTTTATAACGTCAGCTCAGTGCCACAGATCCCAGCTTCACTCAGAAGAGCTATAGCCATCCTGATGGAGCTGACTCTCCACGTGCTCCTTCTGTGTTTGCTTAAAACGTCTCTCAGTTTAGAAAATGAGTTTTCACATGTTGCTGTGATGCTCCAGATGTTAATCTAAGAGTCTGCTGTCTGTACACGATGCTCTACTGTGCGACTGGAATGATATCTGTTCAAAACACTGAGTTGTCCATCTTTTTTCGTCCAGATTAGTCAATTTCAGTTCCGAATCTGTTTAGTGAGCTAAATGAAATCTCTTCCACGATTGTTTTTGATGACTGCACTGTTGGGATTTGCATTGAGGCAGGGCTGATGGCTGGTGGAATGTTGTAGAAGCTAGACATTAAAAAAATTGAGTTGAAATGACGGGCCTTATTTCATCAACAGAAAATGAACTAAACTGAGGGCAGCACGTAGTTATGGTGTCTAAAAAGACTTGCTCATCTAGAAGGTTCATGTAATTAATGTGACTGCAGTTTGAAAAGGCCACCCTGAAGAATAAATACAGACAAGTAAAGTCTAAGTTGCAAGACAAATAACACAAACACAGAGCTAGGGGGTCACAGTATTCCACCCGAGGGGGTGTGGCCACCTTGTTCCTCTGGGTGTGGTGCAGGACCTGAGTGCAGCACGGTTATAAATCTGTGATTATGGATTTTGTTGTAACTTCCCTGCTGAGTAACCGATGCTGAATATCACTGTCTAGACTTACTTTCAGATCATAAATATAATCTCTACAATAATGCTAGTTTCTGTGCTCCTGCAGGATTCTAGATTAAACAGACATTTGAAGCGTGTAACAGACATTATCATATATCTATGCTTGAATGTATCAGTGTTACGGTGACTCCTTCAGTAAAGTCCTGGCATAGAGCTGCTGCCACTGTTTAATATTCCTAACAACTACGGCAACCGCGACTACGACTCCTAAAAATGTCCCCTTAACTCAACTTTATTGGAAGTTTGACTACAAAACACACCCTGAAACCCTAAAATGTCCCCATAACTCAGCTTTAATGGAAATTCAACTACAGAATACACACTAAAACCTTAAAATGTCCCCATAACTCAGCTTGAATGGAAATTAACTACAAAACACACACTAAAACCTCAAAATGTCCCCATAACTCAACTTTAATGGAAATTCAACTACAAAACACACACTGAAATCTTAAAATGCCCCCATAACTCAGCTTTAATGGAACTCAGCTTTAATAGAAATTCAACTACAAAACACACACTAAAACCTCAAAATGTCCCCATAACTCAACTTTAATGGAAATTCAACTACAAAACACACCCTGAGACCCTAAAAATGTCCCCATAACTCAACTTTAATGGGAATTAATCTACAAAACACACTGAGACCTTAAAATGTCTCCATAACTCAGCTTTAATGGAAATTCAACTACAAAACACACCCTGAGACCCTAAAAATGTCCCCATAACTCAACTTTAATGGAAATTCAACTACAGCACACACACTAAAACCTTAAAATGTCCCCATAACTCAACTTTAATGGAAATTCAACTACAGCACACACACTAAAACCTTAAAGTGTCCCCATAACTCAGCTTTAATGGAAATTCGGCTACAAAACACACACTGAAATCTTAAAATGCCCCCATAACTCAGCTTTAATGGAAATTCAGCTACAAAACGCACACTGAAACCTCAAAATGTCCCCATAACTCAGCTTTAATGGAAATTCAACTACAGAATACACAGCAAAACCTTAAAATGTCCCCATAACTCAACTTTATTGGAAGTTTGACTACAAAACACACCCTGAAACCCTAAAATGTCCCCATAACTCAGCTTTAATGGAAATTCAACTACAAAACACACTGAGACCTTAAATGTCTCCATAACTCAGCTTTAATGGAAATTCAACTACAGAATACACACTAAAACCTTAAAATGTCCCCATAACTCAACTTTATTGGAAGTTTGACTACAAAACACACCCTGAAACCCTAAAATGTCCCCATAACTCAGCTTAAAACCTCAAAATGTCCCCTTAACTCAAGTTTAATGGAAATTCAACTACAGAACACACACTAAAACCTTAAACTGTCCCCATAACTCAACTTGAATGGAAATTCAACTACAGAACACACACTAAAACCTTAAAATGTCCCCATAACTCAGCTTTAATAGAAATTCAACTACAAAACACACACTAAAACCTCAAAATGTCCCCATAACTCAACTTTAATGGAAATTCAACTACAAAACACACCCTGAGACCTTGTCCCCATAATTCAGCTTTGATAGAAATTCAGCTCAAAACAGCTGCAGTAAAGGGGAACACACATAACACACACTGCTCAGGCTCTACTGTTTTCCTGCTAGCTAACTGGGCTACTGAAGCTCGTTACCTTACGTCCCCCAGAGTACTTCAAAATAAGGCTGCGTTCACATTACCAGGTTGAAGAGGCACAAATCAGATTTTTTGCCCTAATGTGACTCAGATCTGATGTTTTCAGAGCTGTGCGGACCCATTAATCTGATCTTTTCAAATCCGACCTGAGCCACTTTCATATGTGGTCCTAGATCGGATGCGTATCCGATTCATGGCCATGCGACTTTAATGTGAACGCTCAGATTGAATTTCATGTGCTTTTTTTCCACTGCGCCATCATTCAGCGTTACCGTGGCAGCAGCACCGAATAGAAGTTAAAGCCTGTAAATGGTGGAAAAGCAGCACATCTCACCTTTTTCACCTTTGTCTCACTCTAATTTTGAACAGCTGAGAGCTGATCAAACCTAATTATCTTCATGGTGAAGGACTGTTCTGCTCGTTTGTTTGTTTGCTGATGATGAAGGATGTGCGCATGCGGGTCATTTCAGGACGCCAGTTCGTTCACATTAATGACAGATTTGAATCACTTACCTAAACGAGTGCGAACCATTGTGTCAGAGAGATTGGATTTGAGCAAAAAATCGGATTTCAGTGATGAGGCTTGTAATGTGAATGTAGCCTAAGAGTCCCGGACCAACTAAAAACACGGTGCCCAACTACACTCAACCAAAACAAGAACAATGTTATTTTTAAACTGAATACAGCCTCATGTGTCTGATGCCACAATATGTAGTAATTAAACAAAAATTAAAATGAAACAAGAATATGTGGATTTAATGTTTGTTTAAAACAGATTTTTACAGTTCTGGTCAGTATTCACATTCACTCAGTGTGTTTTAAACAGGTTTGGACAGCAACAAATATCATTTTTGTTATTAATCTTGTGCATTAATAATTAGTGATCGTGAATCTAAATGTTAAAATGCTAAATGCATTGTGTAATACAGATTATTACAAAAAAATCCCATTTTTGTTGTTTTTCTTTTTTTATGTTTTAAATGTACAGTGATGTGTGATGTTTCAGATGCGCAGTGAGAGCAGTGTGATGTTTCAGATGTACAGTGAATGCAGTGTAATGTTTCAGATGTACATTTGAGTGCGTAGTGATGTTTCAGGTGTGCAGTGAAAGCAATGTGATGTTTCAGGTGTGCAGTAAGTGCAGTGTAACAGCAGTGCGTCTGTAATATATGTTGTATGTGTAGCTGCAGAGTTTTTGGAGTAAAGACGTGTTGGAGGTGAATTGGAGACAAACTGACTTTTACCTTTATAAATTTCTTTTTTTTTTTTTTATAATGCAGAACTGTGACCTGTCCGGCTGTGACTTGCAGGAGGCGAACCTGCGCGGCTCCAACGTTAAAGGGGCCATTTTTGAGGAGATGCTGACGCCCCTCCACATGTCCCAGAGTGTCCGATAACTGGAATATCTCCACTTTTCGTCCCTTCTATCCTCTTCTCACACTGACCACAGCGGTTCTGTCAGAGCTCTGACTTTTCTAACCAGTGAAAATCAGAAATGGACACTGCAGTTGCGGATGGTCTGTTGTTTCAGTGTTTACAGTGGAGCTTTGGAGTGTTAGCTCAGTTTAGCTGTAGATGAAAGTTTTTGTACAGAAATGTTTAATACTGAACTGCATTATTTTAAAGAGTTTTTTCTGTTTAAAGTCAATTCTGTGACCAAAACTGTGAACTGATTAAATGTAAGTTAATGGATAAAACATTTTGTCTGCTTTTATGTTTGCGTTGATAGATGTTATGTGATAGTTTTGTGCTCCTGGTCTCAGTAAAATGATTAGAGTGGATTATTTTGCCTCACTGGTTTAGATGTCCATATGCCACTGCTACTGCTGGCTGTTTTAAAAGTGTTTAAGTAAAGTGGGCCTCATCATGAAACACAAGCAGAACAAATTTGTCTTTAAATCAAGTAACTCGTATGGGAACAAGCTTGATCTGGATCCAGCACCTCGTTCAAAACCAAGAAAATCACAATAATATTTTCTACAAACAGCTTACACAGTGAGTAGGAAGTTTTAGGCACCTTAGAAAATATTTTAAAAAGATGTTGGTCTGGGCAGTAAGCTTTTGCTGGCTTATATAAACCCTAACGTTAGTTTCCATCCAACACCTGCTTTACCTAATCAGTTCTTCATTAAATTAAATCAGGTGCTGCTGATGGAACTGGACAAATGAATCTGAAGGCTGGAGAGCAGCGAAAAGTCAGGAACCAAACCTGTGTTCTTTTAACCTGCATATTCAGAACTTTGCTGACAAACATGTTCTGACTGCTGTATTTATGTTCATTAGTTCTTATTCTGTTATATATGGGAATAAAAAATAACACTTTTTTTTTATCCAGATAAATAGTTTGAACAGTTTGGTCAGGGGATTAATACATTTGCACAGTATTGTATATTGCATAATAAAATGTGGAAAGTGAACTAAAGTAGCACCGTGTCACCACACTTTAACTTTTAACTCCAGTTTGGTTGCGTCAGCGTCAGTGTGGTTTTTATTACTGTTTATCACTCACGGGTCCTTCAGCTCAGTAACTCTCAACTAAAACACTGGCTTCAGTTTGTTAACTACTCAATGTTAGAATCTGTTTAAACAAACTCATGTATGATAGAACTTTCAGTACCCTAGAACCTTCTTAACTCACTGGTTATTTTAAGATCCGTCTTTGTGGGGAAATCTCACCCCGAAAAAAAAAAAACACCTCCTTTAACAGGATTTTTGTTTGAATTAATTTTATGAATTTTTCATATGGTTGTGTATGTATGAAACATATAATCAAAATAAAAGAGATTTTCCAAGATGTTTATGAACCACAGAAACATATTTTTACTTAAACATTTAATAAACTTACAGAGGATTGATGGAAATTTCTGTAGTCCTTGTTTAGGATAGAAAACCATGAAATTGTCATTAAAATGACACTTTCTATAGTTATAGTATTTTATAATATTTCTTTTATCAAAGAGGAATATAAACCTGTTTTTTCTCTTTTAGGTCAAAAATGTATAGAAAATTAGTGTATTTGAAATGACACATTTTATTTAAAAACAGTTTGTAATATTTCTGTTGTCCAAAACAAACAAGTTAAAATCAATGTTTTTCCATTCTTTATGTTTGAGAAATTATAATTTTAACTCAAGCTTATGTATCCCAGGATCCCTCACAGCCTCACTCTGTATTGTGTTGAATAAAACAGGACCAAGAGGGAATCTGCATCGGTTTATTCTGCACAAGAGTTTTCACAGAGAAAAGCAGATGGCATGATTAAAACCGATCATGAACTTGAACTTATTGCAAAATAACATTGCGAACAATAAACATGAAACAACCATAGGCATCATGTATTGTCTAGCTAACATGGCTTTCTGTTGCTAGCAGTGTGCAGGGCTGTATTAAGCTTATTTTTACCACAGAACATCACAAAAATCGAATAAACACATGGTTTGCACTGAAAAATCACTGTTCAGTTTTGTTGCTGACATAAAAAGTCTAGACTATTGTTTTTTGTTGTTGCTTATATACACTATATTGCCAGAAGTATTCACTCATTCTTCTAAATCATTGAATTCAGGTTTTCCAATCACTTCCATGGCCACAGGTGTATAAAACCAAACACCTAGGCATGCAGACTGCTTCTACAAACATTTGTGAAAGAATGGGTCACTCTCAGGAGCTCAGTGAATTCCAGTATGGTACCGTGATCGGATGCCACCTGTACAACAAGTCCAGTCGTGAAGTTTCCTCGCTACTAAATATTCCACAGTCAACTGTCAGTGGTATTATAACAAAGTGGAAGCGATTGGGAATGACAGCAACTCAGCCACGAAGTGGTCGGCCACGTAAAATGACAGAGCGGGGTCAGCAGATGCTGAGGCGCGTTGTTTAAATTAGCATTTAACTAAAAGTTTAAATTAGCATTTAACTAAAACTGAATGTCTCGTAGTGTTTATCTTGTAATTTAATCTTCTTCATTTTCTTCTGATTCTAATTATGTACTAATGATCTTTTCTATAACTATGTTTTATCACCTGTCTGTAGAGCACTTTGAGCTGCCACCGGCATGAAAAGTGCTATATAAATAAAATTATTATTATAATTATTATTGTGCGCAGAGGTCGCCAACTTTCTGCAGAGTCAATTGCTACAGACCTCCAAACTTCATGTGGCCTTCAGATTATTTCAAGAACAGTGCGTAGAGAGCTTCATGAAATGGGTTTCCATGGCCGAGCAGCTGCATTCAAGCCTTACATCTCCAAGCGCAATGCAAAGCATTGAATGCAGTGGTGTATAGTGCAACCACTAGACGTGTTCTCTGGAGTGACGAATCACACTTCTCCATCTGGCAATCCGATGGACGAGTCTGGGTTTGGCAGTTGCCAGGAGAACGGCACTTGTCTGACTGCATTGTGCCAAGTGTAAAGTTTGGTGGAGGGGGATTATGGGGTGGGGTTGTTTTTCAGGAGCTGGGCTCAGCCCCTTAGTTCCAGTTTTAGGAGCTCTTAATGCTTCAGCAGACCAAGAGATTTTGGACAATTTCATGCTCCCAACTTTGTGGGAACAGTTTGGGGATGGCCCCTTCCTGTTCCAACATGACTGCGCACCAGTGCACAAAGCAAGGTCCATAAAGACATGGATGAGCGAGTTTGGTGTGGAAGAACTTGACTGGCCTGCCCCTCAACCCGAAAGAACACCTTTGGGATGAATTAGAGATTGTGAGCCAGGCCTTCTCATCCAACATCAGTGTCTGACCTCACAAATGCGCTTCTGGAAGAATGGTCAAAAATTCCCACAAACACACTTCTAAACCTTGTGGAAAGCCTTCCCAGAAGAGTTGAAGCTGTTATAGCTGCAAAGGGTGGGCCGACATCGTATTAAACCCTTGTCACCGTCACTGAAGTTCATATACGTGTGAAGGCAGACGAGCAAATACTTCTGGCAATATAGTGTATGTCAATATAAACTTTATACAATTAAAAGGGCAAATGAAAACAGGCTACCTTGCACGTCAGAGTGCAAAAGAACAAAAGGGCGAGACTGATGCTTCAGTTATTTTAGCCTCTGAATGCCCAGCTGACCACTCTTTTAAAATAAATGTGCTTTGTGGCTAATTGACAAAATGGTGAATTAAGTACAGCGGAAACCATCTATTTATAGATATATTAATTGAATGCATGTTAGTAAAAACATTCCAGTCAGTATTAATCCTGCTACACTTGTGTAATATTTCTATAAATTTAAAACTAAACCAAACATGGTTGATTTCTATAAAATAATAGTTTGTTTTTATTTACTTTTTTACAAAAGGGTGCAGAGAAATCATGTAATTCCTAATATTATGCAGTGTTTTTTAATATTTAAGTGTACCTTTTCTTCATATTGTATAACTTTTGCAAAATTACTTTGTTAAATTATGAAATAGATAAATGACAAATTCTGAAACTTTATTAAAATCGCAGGATGCCAGGTGGTTGACTCCAAGACTCTGGAAGATAGGCCTGCGTAATGCATCTTGGGTGGAGGTCCAAGCAGGCAGGTAGCTTTCCTTGGAATTCCAGGCTGGTGTTACCCTGAACACTGAAATCTTTTTGCAAAGATACCAAGCTTCTACCACTTTGAGCCCCATTGGGGTTGCACACCAATGATGTGATGCACATTAGCCAGATTTCAACCAAACTCTCCCTCTGACCCTTATTGGCACAGTACCTCCTCCAAACTCCACATAGTCGACTGGGAGGCCATGATAGGTGAGTTATTAGCTTTGTGATTTAACCCACTTTGTTTAATAGTTTAGGGTCCCATATTACCAAAATGTCCCGCCACATAATAAACCACTGTTACCGATATGGACAAAGGTCATATTTCCTTGACCTTTGAGCCTAGAGCTACCAAATTGAGAGGTAGATAGCATATCAATAGGCAGACAAAAATTACCCACCGCATGGCTTGATCGCACTTATATTTGAAAAGATATTCCTTAAGTCTTGAGTTTTGCAAATCAGGAACCAATCAGATGTGAATATGCAAATGAGTGTTGAATTTATGAGTGTGGAACTTGCAAGTATTCCTGTACCTATGGAATCTAACCCCAACATGCTGGTTGGGTGTTACATTTTGTCAGGTTTGGTGGTCCTAGGACTTTCCCCCACCTCACTAGTCTCTTTTATGTCAACTTCTGCCTATTCACAGCCTAGGCTGCCATTAAAGTTACTGTATGGTTGAGGCTGTATCTCCTTGACCTTTCATGCTACAGTCACCAAATTTAGAAATGTTTAGCATTCCAGTTGGCTGACAACATCCTGTATGTTTGGTGGCTCTACGACTTCTTCCCTTTAGCCCTAACTCTAGTGTTAAAGTCAATGCTTGTCCTAATCCTAACCATAAATTTCATCTCAACCTCAACTCAAAACCTAGTATCAAACCTAACTTTGATCCCAAATTCAAACATTTTCGTAATCCTAACCCTAACCTGTTCCTGTATGTAACCCTTGTCCAACTTAAATTTAACCCTTGTCCTAAACCTAACCATAAATTTCATGTCGACCTCAACCCAAAACCAAAATCAACCCTAACTTTGATCCTAAATTCAACCATTGTCATAATACTAACCCTAACCCTTCTCCTAACCCTAACCCTAACTCTGGTCCTAAATTTAACCTTTGTCCTAATCCTAACCCTAACTTTAATCTCAACCTACGTCCAAAACTTAATCCTAACACTAACTTTAATCTCAACCTACACCCAAAACATAATCCTAACCCTAACTTTAATCTCAACCTCAACCTAAAACCTAATCCAAAACCTTTCCCTGGTCCTGAATTTAACTCTTGTCTGAATCCTAACTTTAATCCCAACCCTAACTTTGGTCCTAAATGTAACTCATGTCCTAACCCTAACCCTAACTCTTAAATTTAACCCTTAAATCCTAGCCCTAACTTGTCCTAATCCTAGCCTTAACTTTAAACTCAACCTACACCCAAAACATAATCCTAACCCTAACTCCACACCCTATGCTGGTCACACCTCCAAAGTTCAGTCTTAGAAGTTGTATGTTATACTTATCACCATCCATGTAATCCCAATAACAAATTCAGTGATGTTGGCATCTGGGGTGGTCAGTGCACTGTTCTGAGAACACCAGCAGCTTCCTGGTTTAATGCACAATTGTTTTTTTTAATCTATTTCCTTTCTCAGTAAGGGCTTCTTTCTTGACAGCTACACATTCTTTTAGATGCACAGCAGTGAGTTGTCTTCTCACAGTAGAAGTATGGACAGAAACACCTGTGGGATTTTTTCAGATCTGAAGCAAGAGTGGAGCTTGATTTTCTCCTCTCTTTCAAAGATGAAAGCTTTAAATACTGTTTATCTGATGGTGGCAGTTTTGGTGGTCCACTGGGTCTTGCAGGTTGCTGTTAGAAGTCCCATCATCTCTGTACTTTGTACATAATTGTTTCAAATTCAGTTTTTCCATATTTTCCTTCGAGTTTCCCCTTCTATATGCAAGTGGATTATCTTCTATCTAATCTCAGAAACATTTCCTGAAGAATGAGTAGCTTGTGCTTAATAGCTGTTTTTACTGGAAATACAAAGGATGATCTCTGGCTTCTGCACAGTACTATACATGCACCTGCCTATTCAGTGCCTGGACTACTTTCTGAATGAGGCACAATACAAAACAGCCAGTCACATCAAATGTCATTTACATATATCAGTCTTAAAGGCAGAGTAACAAACCAACCTTTAATTTTAAGTGACGAAAAGAGATTTGAAAATGATTAGTAGAGATTAGTAAAATGATTCACAACTGTTTTTGGTACATAAAAAAAGAAAAAAAAATAAGATATTGGCCTTGCAAAAATCTCATGCATCACTGCACAAAACACAAAAATGTTTATATGTTCAAAGTCACTTATGTTCTTACAACATCAAAAACAGCAAAAAAATTGCATAAAACCATTTTATTTAACAATGCCTCTAACCCAGCATACAGAATCAACTGAATACTTTTGACTTGGGTCATTTGATACTGGACACTCAACAAGAGGTACAGGTTTGTTGAAATCCATGAAATAACACGCTGAACATCATAAAACGATCAGATTCTAAATCGAGTCGAGGGACAGGGGTACCTTCCAGTTATCCCAAGCTTTTAAAACATGGCTCTTCTAAGCGTCACTTGCATTCCACAGACATGTTTTCTATTGGGGCATCATAAATAATTATTGCTAAGCCACTACCTAACATACATTGGCTTAAGAAAACTGTTTTTATATAAAAAAATGCAGAAAGTTGAACTATAACTGCATGCTTTGGAAGCACTGATCTACAAGTATATAAAATATACAAAAAGAAATGTGTCAAAACTAGCATGTCATATAGCGGGATAAATATCTTTAAAAGTATCATGTAGGACATGTAGAATATGTACCGTAACCTAAATGTGTTTAAGTCACTGTTTAACACACCCAAACAAGTACTACCCCCTAAACATTCTCAGTTTGCTAAGGCAATAATTACATTTAAAAACTGTATTTAAGAAACAGGGTGTTAGTAGTTCCCTTCTCGGAATCAATGTTTGAGCCACGGGTGAGCTGCTATCGAGGCTTTACTTCGGTCGCCGTAGTCATACAGCAGCTCCTCTCCCTCCTCTATATCTCTGGAGGCCACAAGGATCAGGTGAGGTATTCCATTGATGTCGTGGAGCTTGGTCTGACAGTTGCCATTTTTACTGTGGTTGATGAGCCGTCCCATACGGTCAGTTTCTTTCGTGGCATCAACACTAACAAGACAAAGAGCACAGTAAGAAACGGCAAAATTTGTCTATGACCCCTTTTACATGAGGTGAAAATCATCTGAGCAAACCAGTTTCGGAGGACAATAAACAGACCCCAAAATAAAAGAGCTCAGTTTCTTTCATGTCAAGAAACCAAGCTTGGAGAAGGCGGCTAGCAAAGAGAAACAGATTATCTGCCAAAAACAGCAGGATTTATCACTATACCAGACCACAATTATTTGAATTGATCACAATTATTTAAATTAGAACACTGTGGCCAAAACGAAGATTTTGAAAATCTGCTGTAAACAGGTCTCCTCTCATCTTACAGCAGCGCTGTAGCAGCCTCTATTGTAAGATTTTCTGGGTTAAAGACTAGGAAAATTCTCCTGTGATAATGTACCTTAAAGATGGAAGGAACCTTTGAAGAACAAATGAACAAAAAGAGGAAAATTATATGAAATTGTGGATTCTGTCAAATCGATGAGGCTGTGGGATACACTGCTATGGTACGAAACACTACATAGCACAATACTCTAGTTTTAGATAGGAATGCCCCCTTAAATTAACCACAATTATTTTCCACCGTGCTTTTTCAACAGCAAAAATACATGTAAAAGAAGGCAGAAAATTAATGGGAGACACATGATGGGTCATCCAATAAAACAAAAGTTCTCATTTCCGGCTGGTGCTACAACACCTGTAGAAGGCTGTTGTAGGTAATATTGGTTTATTTGAGCTTGAGCTGTCAGTAGCTTCCAACTGACAACAGCTAAGAAACAAGATAGCTAAACAACTGCTTAAGAATCTATTGTTCTTTAAAAGTTCTATACAATGAACAAAAATGATTTCTCTCACCTTTGAAACTCTCTACACTAACCATTCACAAAATTCTTATTACAAAACAAGACTCTTGTAATTTTTCCAGCTCTAGAAAAACAGTTAGTACAGCTAGTACTAGGCAGTTTCAATAAATTCAACATTTCCATTTTTCCAAAACATAATATCATAATTTATCATAGATTTGCATTAACATAATTTATGAACTCCTGCTTCCGGTACCGGTACTCTATGCTAAAAGAACACCTTACATACCCGACATGTTTTCTATACAGAATTGTAAAAGTTTCCAAAAGGAAGCTTATTTTAAAGGTATTTTGAATAGAGACCATTAATGCAATAAATTAACAATGCCACAATTTTTTTAAAACAGCATTAACACAATTTTCTACCATCTGAACCATCTGTAGCAGTGCAGGCTGAAGCCCTGTTGCTCACACACCATGTATTGCTATGACAGAATCTGAAATTGTAGCCCTTTCGTTCAAATACAGCTAAATAGCGATACTTTCAGAGTCTGCCGCAGATCAGATGTCTGAAAAGTTAAATGCCTCTAAAAGCCACATCACAGAGACGTTATATGAAGTAGTTATGAATACGCTGCCTGATGCCTAGGAAACTGTGTCTTCATACTTGTGAGGTATTTCATATTTTTTTTTAAATCATTCATGGCAGAGAGGTACATGCAGGGCATTGTAGGTCAAAATAGCACCCAAAACATTTTTTCAGATTTTTAGCTGTTTTACTATTGTCACTGCCACATATAAAAACAAGAAAAACACATTCAGGTTCACTGGTGGTTTTTGATAGTAAATAAATTTGCTATGTTTGTGCTGTTGACATTGTGACCTCTCACCATCACTGTAAAGAAATAAAGAAATCTGAGTTGGGAGGTTTCTCTACAATGCAGTATTTTCCATCAAAAAACAACTTTAGCAAATAATACGAATGCAATTAACTACACAAAATAATCTGATTAGTATTGATTGTTATGAACTGTTGTTTCAAAACAATCTAAAGCACCCAGCAAACAACATACATTACAGATAAATAAGTTTCTGTTATCCATCAATACAGATAAAACTTGATTTTAAGTAGCTGTTCTTTAATTTCCTCCATTACATAATGTCATGGTTGTCTTACATATCCTCTAAAATGAAATACCCCAAACAAACTATAGTAACAAGTGTTTTGACACCACTGCTGTAAGGGGACTATACAACAGAGGTTTTAAACCTTGCATAATAAAAAACTCAATTCCAAAAAAGTTGGGACAGTAGGTTAAACAAATAAAAACATAAAGCAGTGATTTTTAATTTTACTTCACCTGTATTTAAACAAAAACACTACAAAGACAAGATATGTAATCTTTTACCTTGTCAACCTCATTGTTTTGTTGTAGATATATGCTTGTTCTGAAACCGAAGCCTGCAACATGTTCCAAAAAAGTTGGGACAGGGGCAATTTAAGACAAGGAACATTGTGAAATGTTTATACACCTGACAGGTGATGCAGTCATGCTTGGATATAAAAGGCGCATACAAGAAAGACAGAATCCTTCATGAACAACGATGGGTCGAGGCTTGCCACTTTGCCAAAAATGCAAAAGGGACCATCAAAAACAGGCATGCTTCTATGATGTACATCACCGCATGGGCACAGCAATACTTTGACAAACCGTTGTTAATAAACGCAGCTCATCGCTGCATCCACAAATGCAGTTAGAACTGTACTATACACAGAGAAAGTCATACATCAACAACGTTCAGAAACGCTGCCGATTTCTTTAGGCTTAAGCTCATCAGAAATGAACTGGTACACAGCGGAAACGTATTGTCGTCTGACAAGTGAACCTCTTAGATAAAAATAATATACATCATATTCCTCAGGCCAAAGAAGAAAGGGACCATCCAGATTGTTACCTGCTTACAATTCAAGAGCCAGGGTCTGTCATGGCATGACACCAAGCTACATTCTACATGTGTTACAACAGCATGGCTGCATAATCAGAGACTGCGGGTGCTACACTAGCTTGTCTGTAGTCCAGAACTGTCTCTCACTGAAAACTTCTGAAAAATACAAGTGGTTGCACAGTTTAAGATCTGTATAACAGAATAATGGCAAAATATTCCACTTTTAAATCATTAAGTGTTGCTAAAAGGAAAGGTGACGTAACACAGTGGTAAACATGCTCCTGCTTTCCAACTTTCCAATTTTTTTGGAATATGTTGCAAGTGTCAAACTTCAAATGAGTGTATGTTAATAAAAAAACTATCAAATTCATAAAGTTAAAATACTGTGTTTTTGTTTTCAATTTAATACAGGTCAAACAGAACTTCCTAATCATTGCTCTTAGCATTTCACATACTGTCTCAATTTTTTTGTATTGGTTTGTAGAAGTAAATACTTAACCTTTTGTTGATCTTTCAGGCTTAGCACCAAACATGTTAGCACATAGTTTTTTCAAAGTTAGATGAAATTGATACAGGGTGTGGTGCTGTAACCTACCAATATGTTTTGCTGAGATACTGGAAGTAATACATGTAGCAGCCAGTAGTTGGGTCTTGTGCGTATATAGCTTCCCTTTTCTTCGCATCAGTTTTCAGCAACAGGTCGCCATGATATTCCACCACATATTGTCCTTTCTGGAAATGCTGAGTGGCAAAAACCCCTCTTCCCTTTCCTTCAATGTATTTGACCTATGGTGAACATAAGAACGTGTTCAAGTTGTGTTCAACTGTGAAGTAAGTTTGAATGCTTTCACAACTGCTTCACTTCTTTAGTCACTGATGTTTACCGTCATTCCATTCTCTATCCCTTTTGTGATCAGCTCGTCTAGGTGTTTCTTCTCTGCACACTGTTGACACGAAACAGGTATGAATAAGGTACACACACACAGGCAAATTCATAGATACATTCTGAAGTAGGGGTGGGCAATATGGGATGTTATCTTTACAAATCAGATCACAATACACTTTTATATGATGTATATAAAATATATATGGTGGGCATTGTTAGTATTTCTTGAACACAAACAAATGCATGCACCATAAAAAGATTTAGGCTGGCTTTAAATCACGTGAGAAGCTCCAGTCCTCGGTGGCCAAAACACTGCACACTTCAGCAAGCCGCCCCATTAAACACACCTGATTCAGCCCATCAGCTAATAAAATGTTGTTTCATGTCTGAATTTCTACAAGACTAGAGTTGGTTTCTTATTTGGCAGCCTTTTGTTGCAACTTTTCATTCCATCTTAAATGGAGCAGCTCTTATATTCTGGCACCTGTATCTAACTGCTACACCATTTGAAATGGAACTGAAAATTTGAATAAGAAGCCAATTTCAGCTGTGTCAGACTCCTCAAGTCATTTGCCTTATACTTGTATCTTATACATTCGTGTCTCTGATGATCAGACACTGCAGGAATTTGGGAAATATTAGTTATTCACCCTCTACTATTACAGTACTGGCTTATTCCTCACACAACGCACAAACATGGTTTCATCTGAAGGAGCTGACTGAGTTAGAACATTCCTTTATGTCTCGTAAAACAAAGTGGACTATTTCTGATGCAACAGACTAGATGGCAAGGGTCTGCTGCGTTTTCATTTGAAACGTGACTGAAACATCTGTGCCACTTAACCAAACGGGCTAGCGAAAATGTGGTTTGCACAGTTTGTACAAGCACTTATTTGGGGCATACCGATATAAAGGTTATGACAAAACTCATAACTAAGGAAGAAAATAGCTTGCTAGTAATATATGCAGTCAAACATATAGAAGAGAGATGCATGTCTGGTTGGTATAGTGTAGTGGGTGACACCTCTGCCTTCTATGCTGTAGACTGGGGTTCAATCCCTGCCTGGGTAAACACCCTACACTATACCAGTAAGAGTCCTTGGGCAAGACTCCTAACACTACCTTCGCCTTCCTGTGTAAAATGATCAAATTGTAAGTCGCTCTGGATAAGAGCGTCTGCCAAAATGCCGTAAATGTAAATGTAAATGTCTAGATGGATAGATAGAGAAAAAAATTAATGGCAATGACTGCTGGGAAATATAACAAAGACAATAAAACTGCTAGAAATATGCAAATGAAAATTATTGCAGGTTCTCAGATGATTTAATAAAGTGAGAATGATCATCAATGCATCAACAAATGAGTTGCTAATTTGTCTAACTAGTCGAGAAATTCTTAGTAGCCGATTAGATGTTAGTCCGTTATGCCGCTATTTTATATGATAGTTTTAAGATAATGTTTTGGCCTAAAATGTCCTTTTAAAGTACTTTCAGTGCTGAGAGGTAAATGCAAATTTTATGAATATCAGCACTACACACACAAACTCAGAAGACATGCCAGTTCACTGGTCGTACTGGATAGTGACTAAAATTATTATATTTACGTTGTACATTAAGATCCCTGGTTCCTGTCACCACCACTGTAAAGAAATGTCCAGATTGGCATATTTCCCATGGAATTCCCCTTTAAAGACAATTTTAAGTGGAATTTGAGACTTTTGTATTTTTGTGTCATATTTGTGAATTACCTTTAATTCCGTTTTGCTTTTCCTTGAGCTTCTTCGTATGGGATAGTAATCTGTGACCTTCCGGTTCTGGGAATTCTTGCTCTCTGCACTGAGTGGGAGAAGGAAAAATAAGTGTACGAATGACCTTGACTCTGTACCTTGTAGTATTTAAAAAATGATCAGTGATAAATTACTGCCAACAATTATAAGAAATAAGAATGCTAGTCACTTCTAGTTCAAATACTTGAGCATTATATTACACCAATTTTATATGACATTACCAGCTTTAACAATACAAAGACAGGAGCCTTACACTCTCTGTGAAGATTTCTTCACTTTCATTTTAGGACAGACTGTTTTCCTCTGACAGCGAGTGCTGTTGACCTCTGGAGTGACTTCAGTTGATGAGGGTAAAAAGGTTTGCACATAATGCAGTGGCCTTGTCTGTTCTTCTGCTCTCTGTGTTTGATGGTGGAGGTCTTCGTTCACAGCCATTTTAGGGAGAATGATTTCTCCATTTACAGTACAGGGTCTCTTTGCTGTATGGCAGAAGGAAAAGGATGTTATAAACTATTAAACCAATCTGCGCTTGGGAAAAAAAAAAACAAACAGACAAATGCAAAGTGCAAAATGAAATCTTATCGCCCAAGGACACCCTCAATAAACAATGAAAAAAGAGCTAGGGATGTACCATCAGAATCAGCAAACACTGGAATCAAAAAGCACATTTTTGCTCCAAACCCACAATTGGCAACCAGCCAGGCTGTGAAAACTCGTAAATAACGCACATAAACGCAACTTGAGTGCTAACAGTGCCCCTTTCTGGACAACCTTCAGACTGCGACACGTGCTCTGCTTGACTAAGCCCTCATCCACACCTATCTAGTTTTTTTCCCCCTCCATTTAGAGAGAAAATAAATAAATAAATAAATTGATTAAAATACAACTTTGTCCACACAAGCAGCATTTTCGATAATCTCTATGTTCACATGAGAGTGCAAAAACAACTTGACAGGACACAGATACAGCAGGCTGTCTGTGTAATTTGATATTCCACACAGATTCAAAGTCCACTTTTTTCTAGAAAATAAAAGCCTAAAAAGCAAAAGAAAACATTGGGGTTGTTTACGTTGCTATGGCTACACCACCACCTCTGATACACTCACACAGTCCTGATCAGGCAGAAAAGCTGAGTTTTTCTAGCTTTTTACCCCATTTAAATTATGAAGTTAGGATTTATTTTGAATCTGACTTTGATTAATGATCAAGTCATGTCTTTAGAATAACAGATATTTTTAATATTTGCCCCTCTTTTACATGAACTGAGCACAGTACATTCTGCTTCCTCTGGGCTGCGGTTTAATGAAAAAGTAATTGAATGATAAACGTGATCATAACTTTCAAATCAACCCCAAATTACTGAGCAAACAGAAACAGCCCAGTCGTCAGTCATATTTCAGACAGAGTTCGGTATGATTAATAAAAAACTGCATTTTGCCCGCCCACTGAAAAACACTGAAAGTTTTCAAAACTGTTCACCCTGGACAGCACTGTAAAAAAGCACTGTTTTCGTGTGGATGGGAGGCCAAAACACAGAGGAAAAAGTTTTCATAATTATCCAGATACATGTGGACAAAACCTAAATGAGTGAGTTCCAAAGTCCTGTCTTCCAGTGTTACTGGTATTCAGCTACAGATGCCCGCAAAAAACCATGAAGTACTGTATTTTCATATTTTACAGGCCATCTGCACCATCGAGACACTTAAGCTGTACTAACAATACTTCCTCAGATGGTGCATTTTTTTTGTATTACTTTGATGCTAAGGATTACTTTGACATTAAATCACTCAGTAAAATATTTAAACTTAAAGCCTAAGTCTGAATATTACTGATTATCCAGTTAGCAGTCTTCAAAAAATGGTTGTGAAACAAAGTTGTGTTCTTACATTTGGAGCATTTACTATGTTTTAGGCCTTTTACGTCACATACATGAAATCTGTGACCAATTTCTATTTGACCTGCATTTTCTTTCCCCCTCCAAACCAGGCTGTGCCAAGGAGTCCCACTTCTCTGAGTGAGCATGAGTTTATTTTACAGTAAAAGAAATAAAAAGCTGATCTGATTGTGATGTTATGTGAATCTTTTTAAGAATCTTACGAAACAGAAGCTAAAACTAATCATTTTCTCACGTCTGCTAAATAGCAAGGTGTCTAGCACTTTATATTGCAAATTAAATAAAAATCTCTGGAAATGCAATAGTTTGTCTGATATGTTCATTTAGCCTGTACAGTGCGGGCACTGAAATAATGTGGTTAAAGACTGATTAATTCTTTCAGTGGCAGTTACGTTTTGTTCTAATAGCTTATGTTCAGGAAATTAGTTACGGGAATTATGCCTGCCAGTCACCTTGCTTTCTATCAGTCTCTGAGAGGCTCATTTTGTGGGGGCTGGAGGGGGAAAGAGAAGTTTTTCCATTTTTAACTTGGAGGTTTGGGGAGTGAACAAGCGAGTCGGTCAGAGGGACAATTATGTTTGATTTTCTTCTTTTTTTGGCGTGAGCTGTGGCCTGACAATAGCTCAATAAACTGTAGTTCTGAAACAGCTTTTAGTTCCTGTGTCTCTTCCTTCAGCAAGGACGCTACAATAATAATAACAATAACAATAATAATAACAATGATAATAAAGTCAAATCAAATTGTGCAAAAAAAAACAACTATTGGCCAGTTTGGCTGCAAAGACTTCAGAAGAACTGGCCATAAAATTTTAGGATGGGTACATCCCTAACAAAGAAGAAGTGTTCAGTTCAGTTTGTTCATGCAAAGCGCAAAAAGCACAACGCAATCAAATATTATCTAGCCCATACAGTTATTCTGTGCCTCGGCCTGGGTGCAGAATATCCTGGACTTCCCGTCTTGGATGAGTTTGACGGAGATCTCCTCATGATGATTTGCCTTCGAGGCGCTGTGGCTCAAGAAACCGTGAAGTGTAGCGTGTCCATTGCAGAATACGTCCTGCAACACAAAGATGTTGGTGGAGCTGTGAGCTGACTTGTCTGTCATGGATAAAGCTCAGATCAGATAGCAGGTCTGACACTGGAGCTGATGAATAACAAACCCTGATCAGAGTTACACAATCATATGTACCCTGTTGAAAAAACACAGAAACCATTAAATGTTTCTGTTGGTTCCTAGTGGTTTTGTAACGTGTTTTAGCTTTTTTCGATAGGTTGATCTCACAATGAAAAGGATTCTAATGCCCTGTGACTGATTCCAGATGCATCTGATTGTTTTCTAGTGGGATCTAAAGGTGTTCTTTAGAAAGCAAGACCATCCGATTTTAATCCTAAAGGTTCTAATGGTCTTCTTTTTTCATCAGGGTACCGCTGAGAAGCAGAGAAAGAACGAGAACTTATTCCTATTTAAAGTAAAAAAGTCCGAATTTTCTGAGAAATTCCCGGTTATTTGACATCTACACGGCTGGTCTCTGTGAGCGGATGCTACTCGACTTCATGTTGACGGCTATGATGAGCACCATGATGAACACGCCCACACAACTGCTGGGCCTATAAAACAGTGGTCAGTTCTCAACATAATAAATTCTTCAACATCACCCCTTTTTCTTTAGTCAGTTGGTTACGAACTCTGAGCGATAAATACATGCGTAATTAATGTCGAAATATTAGCGATATTCACATATTTTGCATATTTGCTTTTAAAGCAATGGACACAACAAATAGCTAGTTCCTTTGCTTCGACTAGAACACTTCAGCTCTTCATAGCTAGCTAGCTAGCTTAGCAAATTATAACTAATACCTGTTAAAAGCACGCAATATAGAAGCATATTTATCAAAATTATGATTGTATATGGCGGCATCACCTACCCCGTTCATTTCAGTCTTCTTTACTCTTATTGTTTTCGGCGACGTTGCGGGCTTTGGCTTTAGCAAGCGAGCAGAAACCTACTTTATCTCCACACTTTCCGTCTTCCAGGCGGTGCAGGGTGAAGGCATTCCACTGCTACTGACAACAGAGTGGCTCTCCGGCGCTAAAAAAGCTAACTTTTTCAGCTCTTTCATTTACTGTACCTCGCCCGAGCTAGTTTTTACAGTTTCACGCCGCCATGTTTGCACTTTTAACTCATTCACGAGAGGAAACCATGTGAGCGTTTTAAAGGCCAATAATATTCCGCTGTGGTCGTCCGCAGGGGGCGCCGTTGAGTATGTTGTGAAGACGGAGGACAGGCTGCTGTGCCGCTGCTCTTAAAGGGGAATTCTACCATTTTTTCGAAATGTCTACGTAATTAAATGGCTATGATGTAAACAAAGTCGTTCACAGGGGTTTGGTGTAAAATGCTCCGTTGCAGAGAAACATACCGACTCAAAATTGTTCACAGTGGCAGTGATGGGAACCAGATGTCTGAAGAGTTTAATGCCTCTGCTCCCTCACAGGAAGTTATTACATAACCACTTAAATTGTTATGAATACGCTGCCTGATGCCTGGGACATTGCTTTACCATAGACTTGTGATAAAGTATTTTGGGCTAAAATAATTTTGTTAATCCATTTATTTTAATCCATTCATGGCAGAGAGGTAAGTTGTAAGGCACTGTATGGCAAAATAGTCCCAAAAAAGACATTTTCCACTTTTTTACCAGCATAAACACTACATATCTGTATATATACATATGTACTCAGAAGACATGTAGGTTCATTTTATTAGTTTACTACATTGAGGCCACAAATTACTGAAGTGAGGCCATGAATGAATATAATGAGGCCACAAATTACTCTATAGAGGCCATGAATTTATATATTGAGATCACAAAATACTATATTAAGGTCACAAATTAATATATTTAAGTTATGAAAAACTTTACTTATGGTCTTAATATATTAATTTGTGACCTCAATGTAGTAATTTGTGGCCTCAATATATTAATCCATGGCCTCAATATATTCATTCATGGCCTCACTTCAGTAATTTGAGGCTAAAAAATCGCTTATCATCTTACAAATTAGAGAGCCTATAATTAAAAAAATAAAACTGTCTGATTATCAGCATAACAATTCTGGCAAGTGGCTTGTTTCTTACATGAGGCGATATTTGTTTTGTTTGTATACAGCATCCATGCAGCTAAATAATTTCACGTAAATCAGTATTCCACCCACAGCAGTCTGACTACCAATTCTAATAAAACACACACACACACTTTCCAGGCCGCTTATTCATCTGGGTCGCGGGGGGAAGCTGGATTCTATCCCAGCTGTCAATGCCAGAGCCTGTAGTTGTAGAAACACCCAAATATTTAGTGTTTTAATTGCATGGCCTGTGCTTTCATATCCGCACATACTAATGACTGAATTATTGCCAACATTTTAATTTTACTTAACACTAAATGTTACATGTTATTTATTTATTTATTTATTAATTATGGTAATTCCAATTAAACCATTCAGTTAAATTAAAACGTTGCCAGGAAAAAAATCTTAAAGGTACCTGTAGCAGTATCTTGTCACGTAGTCCCGACTCCTTTATATGGGCTCATGTAAGGTTGAAAACAGTCCTAAAATAAACCCATGCAAAATTATGGTTCATCAGTTTACCTTAATGAACAGAGGAAACTGGAACAGATTTATTTGTTCTTCTGAAACAAACCAAACAAATGCATAGATCTTTGCCCATGAAGACTTGGCTTGACCTGGTCTTGCTTGTTAATCTATAGCAGTGGGTATGTAATATTATAATTATAATAAACACATTGTATTTCCAGTATAGTTGGTGGATTTGATATATACTGACTTGTCCCATACGGTAATCTGATATATGGCCATATGTGCACATATATCTGATATATATATATATATATATATATATATATACATATTTATATATATATATATATATATATATATATATGTTTTCTGTGATATGTTATTAAATAAATGTGTTAAACATATATGTTCCATATTTGAAAATAGCCAGTTTAAACTAAGTTGGCATATATGTTACATATGTGCCCACATGTGACAAACACTAAATTGGATATATAAGGAAAATCCATACATGCCAATGTATGTCATATATATGAAATCCATATATTGCAATATATCAGGTTTCCATATGAGGTCCAGTACACTCCAGTATACTCAGCTGAAGATTCAGAAGTAACTGTAAGACTACTGCACTGGCTGCTGTACTGGAGAAGTCATCCTGTGCATGTTAATAAGAGACATTGCGACAAGCTCTGTTTATCTGCTATTTTAGATTCAGGGTCAGTGCATCAGAACAAAAGTGCAAATTATTAAACCTCATAGTAATTGCTGACAGCCTTTACACTTATGCTCTATGGGCTTATCCAGGCCCAGGGGAATAGTTGAACAGTGTGGTTCTATCAAACTGTACAAGCTCTCAGGGGTACACAATTCATAACATGAGTGATCATCCCACATTCAACTTTATTTGCGGCCCTGAGCTGTCAGACCTTGATGAACTTGATTGTCAGCAGAGGTCAATGTCGCTTTTTCGACCTCACTAACATGGCGATCACACAGGGCCCCACCATGTCACGGGAGGAAACTGCTCTAGAAACGTCATTTCCTCGGGGTTTGGGAAGAAAAGGGTCACGTGACACGGGCTTAGCGCTCCGCTTCTCTGACTACTTTATATATATTTTTGCCTTAAACCTCCGTTAATATGGCGAACACTGCGGAGCTGCTGACTCCTTTCGGTGACTTCTCTCTGGACGGGCGTTTCAAACGGCCTCCTCGTCGCTTCGGTATGAGAATTTCGGCGGCGAAAAAAAATGCTCTTCACGCTGGCTGAGAAAAAAAAATGTCACGTGACCCACACGCGATTCAGGCCGTTCGGTAAAGATGGCGGCGGTTGGTTAGAAAACAAGCGGAGAGAAGAGCGACCTCCTCCTGACGGCCGCGGTGCGGAGAGGGCGTAAATACACGAAGTAAGCACACTTTTTAATCATCGTTTAGTGACCAAAACGTCGCCTATTCTCGCTTTCGTCTGTTTTGTACTCATTTTAGGTCGTTGACTGTATATTTCGATTGTTTTTTTCTCCCACTCTGCTCGCCGACTCGCTCGTTTGGCCGTTGCGTGGGTGACGGAGCGCGAGAGGAGGATTCTGCTAAAACGGTTAGCGACACACGGCTATTCACCCAGCTTGGCTGTTGTTAGTGGACGGATAGAGCCGAGTGTTAAGTTAAACTGTAAATATGTAATAATATCGGCTCAAGTACGTTGAAACGTTTACAGCTGTTGTTTTTCAAAGTTTCAGAGCTGGAGGTCGTGAGTCAGATTACCGTTAGCGTGTTAGCGAACCAACTTAACCTGCGTTAGCGAAACATTTTCACAAGCCGCATTCGTTACGGTGCAATTTTTCAAGCAATGTGTTTTTTTTTCTGGCGTAGGGTGAGGATTGGTAGACAAACTGAATTATTAACTAAATGTTTCTATTGTGTGTGGGAGTGCGCTATTCGAGTCAAATAAACGATTAAACCGGGTAGGTAGCTAGCGCTGAATAATAATGTTCCCAGTAAAATGAAAGTGACGGCTGTTTGTGTTGGATAGCTAGCTAGCTAGCTAACATCTATTCAGTTAGTAGTGTCATGCTTAGTTGCGTACCATCGAGTGGTATTTTTATGTTGTATTTTTATAGCTCAGGGAAGAACGGAGCGAATGAAAAAGTACGTCTTTGTTTGTTGTCTGTATTATTGTAATAATAATGTACACCATTCAGCAGCCGGCTGCCCTTTTCGCTTTGCTAAAGACAGCAACGTCAGACCGGGAAGTAGTAAGTACTTAGCTAAGCTAGCTGGACTAGTTTTTGCAAACACGTGTAGTGAGTCGTGTTGTGGTGGAACGCAAGCTAGCAATATTGTCTCTGTAGCCTTTGTTTTATGTCTTTTTGTTTGTTTCATAATTACATTACTATGTTATCTGATTTATGAAAGCAAGTTTTGAGTAAGTAGTAAAGTTATTTCAGTCACTGGCAGCATAAGCCATGTGTAACGTTAATTGCTAATACCTTGTTTGACTGCTTCGAATTTACACTGTTATTGCTGTTCGTATATCTCGCTTCGTGTCAAATCGAAAGACCTTTTCTACTGATCAATAGGTATAGAGACTTTTTTTAATAGTTTTCTTTCTTCGAAAAGACAGAAGTAAGCAGTGCTTTCTCCTTAATGTTGAAAAAGATCTAGCTCGTCTTGCGGATAGGGCTGCGCGTGTGTTGTGATCTCTCATGCTGTGTTTAACATAGAAATGTTATGAATGTTTTTTTTTGTTTTTGTTAGACGATGGATCCAGGACAAGATCTGCTTCTTGCAGCCCTTAGTGAGAGTGGAATCTGCCCGAATGACCTATTTGACTTTGATTGTCAGGACAATGTCCAGTCCCCTGCCTCTCAGCAGGTAAATACGGCCACTTATTTAAATATCTGGTGTGCTTAGCAAGTAAAGCATGTGAACTTATTGTTCTTCTGCATGTCATTTTTTTTAAATACTGTTGCTGTACATGGGATGGCTTTTATGTTGACTCAGAACATTGTGTTTGCTACATTAAAATATAAGAGAATGAGAGGGAGTATGCTTTTCTTTAAACTGCTATTTTTAATAGAAACACTGTTTTCCTTTCTCCTCTTCAGTCAGCCTCAAAAAATGCCCTTGACATTGGCTTGGGCAGTGAGGCTGCTGGAATCGTTAGAATAGAACCCGCTGTGCCACCCACACCCACTGTCACAATCAGAGTAAGTCCTTAAATTACCTTTTGTGGTCAAGTTTAAGAGGTTTCCATTAATTGTAACATTTATAACATAATTGCTATAACATGTATCATGAATCATGATACAATAGAGATTCTATTTAGACTGTAGTTTTTAGTTATGTTTTGGCCACTAAACTTAAGCTGTATTTGTATTTATTATTACTTTTTTTTTTATTATTTTAGAACAATGTTTAGTTAATGTCAATTTGTTTTTGCATTTTAAAGCAGAAGCCTCAACCCTCAACCACCACATTTGTCTTAAATCAACTGAATCAGTTGCCATCACTGGGAACCATAGTTGTCACAAAACCCTCAGCGGGGACCACCTCGAGGCAGACCATCACAGTAACCAAGGTGGTGCAAACAACATCAACAGCCCAACGAAGCTCCTCCTCATCCTCCCCTACTCCCA